AAGCGAGCTGGACAACAATGACGAAAATAATCCCTGGAGAAGGGGAACAAGAGGGACAAAGGACAAACACAAATCTCCAAACACAGCTAGGTGACTGGTGCGCGACCGAAAAAATCCGCCTGTAATGGAGAGGTCCCGGGTTCGATACCCAAACCAGGCGGATTTTTTCGGTCGCGCACCAGTCACCTATCTGTGTTTGGAGATTTGTGTTTGTCCTTTGTCCCTCTTGTTCCCCTTCTCCAGGGATTATTTTCGTCCTTGGAGACGCCACTCTCCAAACACCTGCTTTCACAGGTGCACCCTGCGGGGAACTACTAAATCAATAACTTTTAGAAATACTTTCACCGCGTGGGAGGCGTAGCAGTGCACTACGAGTACCACTCGTGCAGCGGGTAGAAGGTCATGGGGCTATGATAAGGGACGGAAAAATCGCGAGGGCGCGTTATCGCAGCGGTAGCCTTGATCCTGCTGCACGGGTGGTAGCTATAGGGCACTACTGCGCTTCTCACGCGGTCAAAGTCATTCTAAAAACAACTTATTAGTGATTTTGGGTGACGCTCAGCAAGTTTCTAATTGGAGCCATAGGTCTATATTCGCTAATTAAAAAGTGAAGAGTGAAGTAAGAAATTTTACTTCATTATCCGTCGAATAGTTTTGATAAGCCCACAGTAGTATGTCCCCCTGGCGGTTTGACTTACCTGCCAAAACCGCATAAATGTAACTTTCACAACTTTTTTAAACAAGTATGTTAAGCTTATAAAGCACCCTGTATATACTACGTTAAGGAACGTCTCTCCAAAAACCATTGGTACAAGCAATAATTGTCCAATGTCGTCGCTAAAACAACATCGGCTAAACCTGGTGTCAGCGTGGCGAACATTCTTTAGAAGAGGTTCGCCTGACTTCACCACTGTACGCTGCACATCCTTGTTATAGTCTTTATAAATAACCCCACAATATTTCACGTTTTAAAATCTGCATTAGGTCTAAATAAGGGTAATGAAAGAGTATAACCGTGATTGTCGACAGCGTTTTTATACCCCTGAGCCTGCAACTTTTCCTAGCGTTCTGCTCTGCAAAGTGTCTTAAATGTGTTAGTTCCCGCGCGGAAAATCACTTTGCTGAGCTAAACTCACGCGCCCTTAGCCTTTCTACATCATAGACATTTTTGAAGCGGGTGTCTTTAGTATTGCCGGTCGGAGAAGGTGACAACGGCAGAGAGGTCATTCAGTTACCCATAAAGTGCAGCTTAATTGGTATGTTGGAAGAAGCATCACCTTGCATTCTTGGGCTAGAAAAGATAGGCATGCTAACAAAAATGGGAAGATTAGGCATTTTATCCCACTCTGCAGAGGCAATGTTCAGCTGTCAATAGGACCACGATCCCTTTTACTTCGTTTATATTTTGACTTTTCCGTCTTATTGAGATCCATATTTTTAACAAATTGACTGACCTTTCCCGTTGAGGCGCTGATACCAGCTTACAGTTCGTACCAAGTTGATAGTGACACATGGAGCATGAAGCGTGAGACCGCTCTCGGCCATTGGGAGAAGCAAACGATCACCACACCTCCCCTTTTTGCGAATTACACTAAAGCTAAAATGCGAAAGCGCATTTGCTAAGTTGGCTGAGTTTGTGTTTAGGCAAGTTGGAGATGCGCCGCTAATCACAGAAAATGAAGCTGACAAAGCAATGAGGCTCCTGAGTGCACCTCATACTATCTGCTCGTACACCCCGCTCCCGTGATCTGCTCTTGATCCCGAACGTGATTAAAACAAGTTGTCACCCTTGGATTTTTTTAATAAGCTCATACATAATCTCCTTTGTCCCTTATTCAGGGGAATACGATTACCAAACCAATAATTACTAACACTAATGCATTCAATTTATTATTCAGACGTGCTACCTGAAGCTTTCATTTGTCAACAAAACATGCGAGCATTTTTAGCTTGCCGAGCTAGAATAACCTTGGCTATGATCATGATAGAGACGTAAGCGCCACCCTCGATGACTTTCTTAACACGACAAATATATGGCTCTTCGGCCTCCCACCGAGTAATACAACAAAGGTTCCAAACAGTTTTCTTGCTTTTTTAATTTCCTCAATCTAAATGAAGACCCTGCGTGGCAATAAAGAAGGAAGTATGATATGGAGTAATATGATTATTTAACACAGTCCGTTTAATTGGACGTCAATAATTTTATATAAGAATAAAGCAAATGCGTCAAGAAAGTGATCTTTTATGGGCTATTACAGCATTAATACTTCAAAGTTTAACAAAATCTCTTGTAAACTTCTTCGCATATCTTGAATTTCACGGCCTTTCAGATATACTACTGTAGTTCAATTATCCGTTAAGTAAAATGAGAACTCCCATCACCTCAAACACAAAATATTGCTATGTTTGCAACAATTATTTCACTAACAACTTTAGACATGCGTTTGAAACTTTGTATTGCTATAACTACTGCCAGGAATAACGTCTCTTGCAGATTTGAAAGTTCTAGTTTATACAATCAAAAAGATCTCCGTTCTGACATTTTGCGACTTTACGGCTATATTTGGAGAACTGTAAAAAAACAGTAATCAATTATTAAATCAAAACCTCGCCCTCCTCTGCTTCAGTATGTTCATGACGAAAAATAAGTATCAACATTGTGTTATCGTTAATGGTCCCTTCACAAACGAGAGCTAGCAAAGGAAAGAACGAGTTCGTGCCTTCCTATTCGCGACACTATAAATATGCGCAAAAATAAAATATAATATCAGCTATACGAGAGAACATAGGATTATACTTCCTTTCAAATAAATTTACTAATTAAAAAATGTATTCAGAATTATATCAGTAACGATCGGCCAAAAAGCACATATTTTGACAACATCAGTGAGACCGTCCAATACAAAAATGGTATAATGCCGCCTATGGAAAATTCTATGGCAGGCTATCACGCCTTATGACCTTCTATAGTCGGCCATAGAAATACATAAATACAGCTACAGCCAGCTATAAAAAAATCTATGGCCTTGTGTCTATAGAATGGGAACCAATCAATTTTCTTTAACCTTCTATAGAAACTTTTATGACCTGGTGTTTAAAGACTGGGAAACAATAAATTGTCCTTACCCGCCTATAGAAAAATTAATCACCCCGAGTCTAAAGACTGTGAACCAATAAACGTTTCTTTTCCCGCCTAAAGAAAATGTTATGACCCCAAATCTAAAGACTGGAAACCAATCAATGTCCTTTACCAGCCTATAGAGAATTCTATGACCCCAAGTCTACAGGCTGGGAACCAATAAATTGTCTTTACCCGTCTATAGAAAAATTTCTGGTCCCGAGTCTAAAACATCCTTCTCCATGTTCGCGGCGGCAGCGGCGGTCGAACCGCCGCTGCCGCCACGAACATGTTTAATGGCGGTGAAGGCAACCTGAGGGCTTGATTATCGCCGCCTAGAGCGATCCCACTACTACGGTATATATAACGGAGGCCATAACGGATGGCGTATGGAGTTGCGGGAGTGACTAACCGACCTACTAAAACTCTCAACACCGGCTTTTTAACTTTCTGTCTTGGGGAACGTGATGTTTTCAAGCGGTCGCATTCTATCCCCGAATTCAGACTCATTTTAGTCGTCTGCTGAGATACCGAAGTCATGGTTTGTGGGTCTTTATCACTCCCGGCACTTACTTTTTATAGGAAAAACGCTCCAAGTTAGAAAATTAAAATAATACTACATTTCTGTAATACCGGTGACAAAGCATAACCCAAGTTATGTTCTCTGCTGTTGCAACGAGTCTTGAAAAGCAGTTATATTGTTTATTTGAAAAATTCATTGAAATACCTGTGCAACGATTGCAATTAATTATTACCCCACCAAAACTGAAAATAGATTACACTGACACTGAGCACTGCAATCAAACTATAGCATGGTTACAATGGTCAGCACCAGCGTACTGCATTTCAACACTTCATTGTCAACATGATTCATAAAACTTATTAAAACGATGATCATTAAATTATAGCTAATTAGCCTAATGATTTGCACTTAGTTTGCTCAGGGTGTTGAATTAAGAAATAGGGACTATTCCATGAGATAATTAAATTAATATATTAAGTACGAGTAATATTTGCTACTCGACAAATGATGACAGTCACCAGAAAAGTCGGATTCAAAAATAAGACTACCATATATAGAGCTAGTGGGAACTTATCGTACGCAGAGAGTGAGGTAAAGGTTCGGTGTCGCTGCGTTGTTGCTGTTGGTGTGGGGTGTTCTGATTGTGTTCTGTGTGTTCAGTGATGTATGTGTATCTACCATGCAGCGTTCAAAAATCTGGGGGACTAGAAAGAAAATTAGAGTGTGCTGGCTAAAGAAAGCTGTTGGAAAACCCATACAGCCTTCTCTAACTGACCATATAAATGGCTGAAGACCCAAAGGAAAACTCATAATCAGCCATAGCAAGCTGGCTATATAGAGCCATAGGACGACCCACTGAACGTCGGTCGTCCTATGGCTATAGAGAGCTAATGCAACCAAAAGAAAAGCTATAGACAGCTATAGCATTTCGGCCTAAGAGAGCCGTGGGGTAAGCCATATAGAATTCTTTAGCCAGACGTTAGAAAAGCTAAAGAGCGCATTGGCTGGACAGTGATAGGGCCATAGAAAAAGCTATAAAGGTCCATAAAGGCGACCATAAAAAATGCTAAAGACAGCAATAGAACATACTTTAGCTAATTGGGCCGAATAGCTATTCTATAGCCTGCCATAGGATATTCCTGTATGGTGTGGCCCTTAATGTACTGTTTGTAAGTTTTTCTTTGTTTACCGACGTGGTTAGCGTATTATGCTTCAATATTTGAAGGTGTTTCTGGTAGGTTTCTTAGACATTACGTTTTCATTTCGTTTCATTTCATTTCATATTACGATTTCATGAGTCAAATTAGATCTGTTAAATTAAATCCAAATTAAATTAAACGCGATTCTTTTATATTAAAGAGGACAAGTGCACAGCAGGACTCAATGAGAACGACTACACTTGGTAATGTTGATAGAGACTTGAAGTCGACGGTGAGAAATGTTTTATATTTCTGTGCCTAGAGTTGGACAGTCATTACACAAACTCTAAGAACACCAGTTAGTCTTGTGCCATTTCTCTACTCATCTACATACCCAGATATAATCTTAATTTAGTTTTACAAAAATAGTTAACTATGACAGTACCCCATATTATGATTAAAACTCTCATGTTCGCCACTCTATTCATTTGCACGATACATATGAAGTTTTTTTTCATTTCATTGTAAAAGCGCAAGCGATGCTTCGTCACAGCTAAACTTCATGATAATTGTGCTGAAAAGCATAAAGACGCATCATCACTACAAACAGGGACGTAGCCAGGGCTGGGGGGGGGGGGCAAATGGGTCCCGCCCCTCCCCCCCCCCCCCAAAATTTTCTATTTTGCTGGGGCCTCCTCTCCCCCCTTGTCCTCGTACAGCATTTAGCCATGCCCCCCCCCCCCTTCCCGCCCCCCCCCCCCCCCGGAACAAAATCCTGGCTATGCGCCTGACTGCAAGTATCTGAAAATTAAAAACTTGGAGTAAAATATTTAAAAAAACACATCGTTCTACTGTTGGTATGGGGACGATACAACAAGTCCACTTCGTGAAAAGGCAGTATGCAGAAAGTACTTTCGATTACACCACTGCAGCAATTTACTGTTCAAAGGACGAGTAAGATCACATATAAAAACATAAATATAGTAATATTTCATTCGTATGCCATGCGCACTTCGTAGCATTTACAAAATTGTATATTTTATGAAAATGCTTGCAGTAATGTCACGGTAGAGTGAAATAATTTTTATGAGAGCAAGACGAAAATAAAATGCAGACGTGCAAAAACACTAAAAGAATGCTATTGATTCAAGATAATAAAAATTCGTATGTCGCGTTTTGTATAGAAACCACACGCATTCAGGGGTGAGTAATTCTAATTAGATAAAAACAACAGTATTTTTGTCACATAAAAAGCTTTTTCTCAAAGAAGCCATCAAATTCTGGGTTTGTTTTGGAGCTATAAATTATGGTGAAATTGTAGTAATAATTATAATAACAATAAATTAAGTATATTAGGCTGGGAAGAGCCGAGTTAATATGAAAATATCAACCCTGACGATGCCGACACACTTGAGGCATAAATATGACGTGCTATCGGATATACGTTCACAGCTATTTCGTTCTTTCCGTGGTTCACTTGAGAAACTTTGTTTAGAGAAGTACTTCGTGTGTGTTTCTGTCTTCATTTCAAAATAGTAATCGAAGAACCAGTGACTTCATGCCAGAGCTTTTTTATATTCTGAAGCTGCACGTGAAAAATACGGTTAGGTCAGACAAACACAAAATTTATACTGGTTGTTTTTTTGTAGAAACATGCATCTTGAATTTAAGCTTGTGAGGCTAGGAAGACTTTAGTTAGTATGAAAATATCTACCCTGTTGATGCCGACACAATTCAGGCGTAAATATGACGTGCTACCTCATTTACTTTCATAGCTCTTTTGTTCTTTCCATGATTCACTTGAGAAACATTGCTTACAGAAATACTTTGTGTGTTTTTTCTGTCTTAATTTCTAAATATTTAAAGCACCACTTTTATCAAATATACATGGTTTCCACGGGTTCGCATAAAACTCGAATATACTTGCGTGATTTATATTAGGTATCCGTTTGCTTTCATTTCAGATGATAAACTACAAAGAGTTGATTAGAAAGGAATTTTCTACAGCGAAGACAAAAGTTCCCTTAACAGATACCCAAATTATTATTGTAGAGAGCACTGCCTACTACGACAAGGTCGAAAAAGCTCTTAAAGAAAATAAACCGTAAGCAACTGATAATATATATTTTCTCTAACTTTACACCACAACTGATAGAACAACTCCCCAAAATGTTACGGTGCTAAGCATTGCAGTCCTTAAAAATGATATGCATAAAAACACAAAATAATATTTGTTCCTATATGGCCTATTAATTAAAAAAAAGCCTTGTCATGTTATCATAAAAGAGATGTATACTTCAGAATTTCCAAAATATATGTTTCACAAGGACTTTCAAATTTAAAGTTCATGATTTTACATATTTCGAATTTACAGGGTGTTTGATATTGGATTCGAAGATATTTATTTATATTTAAATCCATGAAAGCTACACTAATGGTGTTTGTGAAGGCTAGTTATACGGCCACGGGGACATAAAATAGAAGGATAGTACTCAGCATAGGTCGAATAATTATCTCAACTTTAATAATGAAGATTTAAGTTAGCAAAAATAAACATGTGGTTCCGATTAGAAACTTGCTGAGCGTCATCGCTGAAAGACGGTGAGAGAAAGGAGTGCCTGGTTGACGCTATCATATGCTTCAGATGAACATTAAAAAAATTGGTATGCAAACGCAAAAGAAACACAAAAACGCATCAGACACGAAAGAGCGCCCGTGTCTTACGTGTTTTTGTATGTCCCTTGTCTCATTCTGCGTTCGCATACAAAGATGTTTAACCAACACGCTATCCCAATAGGCCATTTGCGATGTCCCCCAAGAGCCCCGGCCCGCGCTAAACGAATCATTGGAACGGTGATCCTTTAGCCCCTTGGTGAACGGTAATTTTAACCCTATTCTTAGTCACATAGGTTTTTAGCGTAATTCGGAGTCACCCTGAACAAGCGCCTGATATACCCCAATGACCTGTCATATCGCTTTTAAAATTTCTCCTCAATATCAGCGTTTTTGATACTGTGCATGGTGTACACCCTTCAACCTGGATGGGCTGCAGAAATCTCTTACATTATTATCATGGTGATATTAGGTTGGAAACGCAAAAGGTCTATAAACAGCCCCGCGGACTCCGAGCTAAATCCTGGTTTTTGCTGTTGTGAAGTATCGGCCTTTTAAGAAATTCGTGCTCAAACAACAATCACGAGAATGATAATATTGTAAGAGACATCTGCAGCTCAGTCAGGTTCGAAGGTGGACCGCATGCGCAGTATCAAAAAATGCTGACGTTGACGAGCAAATTTAAAAGTAATATGACAGGTCCTTGGGGTATGTCAGGTGCTTGTTCAGGGTGACCACGAATTACGCTCAAAAACTGTGTAACCATGGAGTTGATCGAAAATGAGCGGTCGCAAGCGAGCTGAAGGAACACCGTTTCCATGATTCCTTGAGTGCGGGCCGGGGCACTTGGGAATACTGCAAATGGTGCATTCTATCTAAAAAAAAATTGTCGCCACCGGGATATCACCTTAGTTCCCACCATGAGCGAAGCGGGCACTGTGCCACAGACCACAGGCGCTTCCTCTTTTTGTTATCGCTAGTTATGCAAGACACGCACAGAGTTTCGCTCGCTTTTGCAATGCGCAGCCTAATAATGGTATTTGTTGAGGAGACGTCCGCACATCAGTCTCACTCAGCGCTTCCACGATGGCTGCAGTTTCTGTAACGTTGAACCAGTCTCACGGCGTGTCCTGGCATTTGAGCGTGTACCTTCGCGCGAGTGTAACACTCCGGCGCAAACTGCGTTTACAAAATCGCCGTCACTTGATCCAGCCGCTGCACAATATTCAGCCCACCTGGAAAACTCAAGAGACACCCAAATGAAATAAAAAGTTGCGAGTAAAATTAAACCTTATATCCATTTAATCTATTTATTTCTATTTAGAAAAAAATAACCTTGATATCTATAAGTTTCAGACCGCCCGCGTACCAGCAATCCCGTACGGAAATGTCGGATACAGGCCGGAATGAAAAATGCCGGTTCCACCAAGACCGAAAATTGGGGCACCAGTTTGTATCCAGCCTGGAACCGCGCATTTCCAGTCCCAGTTTCAGAGACAGGCGGTGCACCGCCGGAATTCCCGCTGCGCACACCACTAGACTCTACAAAACAATTTCGTGCTATGCCCTTAGCCGTTACAAGCGAGAGATCGTCACGATTTCAGACCCAGGCGGACTGGGTCTGAAATCGCGACGATCTTTCGCTTGTAACGGCTAAGGGCATCGCGCGAAATATTTTGTAGAGTCTAGTGGTGAGCGCAGAGGAAATTCCGGCGGCGCACACGGTCGTCCAGGCGTCGTCACCAAACACACTGCACAGAACACACAGCACGCACAAGCAAAGTATCCAGTGTTAAGTGCATCGGGAAGTTCCGGCGGGCAAGCGGTATCCGAGTTGTCCAAGTATTGTCGCCAAGCACACCAGCGCCAAGCGCGTCCAGATGCCGAGTCAAAGTGCAATGGGTCGGCAGCTTCACACTATATAAAGATTCAAAGCCGAGGTCATTGGGTATCCATCCAGGGAAACGGTGGGCGCGTCAGTATCCGTGCGCAAACAGCGCGAACGTCGCCGCCGGGCGAGCGCCGACCGACAGTCCCCGACGAGAGCAAAGAAGAAACTAAACTCTCGGACAATGTTGCTACAGCTCCCCAGAAAATAGTAGTAGATTTTAGCTTGAAAAATCAGCAAAAATCAGTAGATTTCTAAATTTTGGTACTCTCTTTTTTCTAATTATAATGCAATTAAATGCAAAGGAGATTTATGTTTGTCCATTGTCCCTCTTGTTCCCCTTCTCCAGGGATTATTTTCATCATTCTTTTTTCTATTAGCTTGTTTGTTTTGTACGGTTATTGCATTGATCATTTGCACATCACATGTAAGAAATGCCACAAAAAACAAAAAGGAGCAGTGAAGAAGAGTAGAAACTGCACGCAAATCAAATTTCCCAAGACCTCTTCCTGCAATATCCGGAAGTCAGATTCCGCGTGATTACAGGAGTATCAGAAATCACTAAAGGCCCGTTCACACTCTTACAACCGAGTACGACCGAGAGAGACGAGACTTGTTGAAACCTCCTAAAATTTCTTAGGACGAGAGGATACACTGGGACGTTGGCGCCATCTATGCGGTGACCCTGGAACTGCATTTCACAAGAGCGAAGGTTTTGTGGGATTCCCGATGTCATATGTGCGTAATACCCATAAAAAAGGCTCGTTTATAACGTTGACAAAAATTTCTCGAGCCAAGAAGGAAAGGATAATACGCGAGAGAAATCGATAATATGCCGGACCGCTAAGTTTACAATGCAACCAAATAGATGGCGCCAGTGTGTCCTCTCCTTGTAAGAGGTTTTAAGGAACCCAGTTTTAAGAGGTCGCAAGAGTGTGAACGGGCCTTTTGTCTTTATCGCTTAGTGGCTTGCTCAATCAAGTACTTTCACACTTCTTGCTCTTTGAGTGTAATATCTGTTGCCAGAATTTTTCGTGTTTTAAAGGGGAGGGCCCTCGAATGATATTTCGGCTGGACGAAAACTTGCGCTGAGATAGACCTCACGCAACGTAGTAACACGGAGAAAAAATTGTGATGGCAAACTTCGGGTTATTTTGGAAGTTATAAGCAAATTAAAATCGCGCAAGCCGCGATGCATACGGCACGGCATGAAAGGCCCGAAGCTAGGTGCGCCCTCTCAGATGGCCGACTGTGCCCTCGCTTTGTAGTGACTCTAGCATTTGACAAGCCTTTCTCTCCCTTTTCCATTTTGTACACCAATCCACCCGTGTTTAGCTTAACTATCCCCTGCAGTCTGTTTTCACCCGCGCGCGTACATTATTGGCTCTCACTTTTCTCCCTCATTTCCTTTTACAACGCCTACACACACACACGCAAACACGTGAAATTACCCACTGAAGTGCGCCAAAATTACTCGAGGGCGCGCCTTGGAGCGAATAGTAGTTTTGGACCACGTGTAGGCAAAAAGAAGAAAACTCAGTAGATTGAGTGGTATTATCACTGAATTAGCAGAATTGTGAAAAAATCAGTAGATCTACTGATAAATCAGCAGGAGTGGCAACACTGCTCTCGGAGCCACAGTCCCGGAGCATTGCCGCCGACTGCAACAGGCAAAGCCAGGCGCGCGCGCGGAAAACGCCCGCTCGCAGCGCCTGCGTAGCGGATGCGCCTGTCCCTAACACGTGACCTGCAAGACACCGCGGAAGTTCCCCGCCGACCCCCCCCCCCCCTCCCCCCATCCCTCCCTCCCCTCCTCCAGTCACGCATGTGCGCGCCCGCTGGCTGGGAGCAGACCCTACTGGAACAAGGGGAGCGGATCGGATCCACCGATCGCCGTGCGATTCCAGAGCGTAGCGTTTCACTGGATCCGACTGGTTACACCCAGAATCGCGCTGATCGGAACTGTCCACAAGTTTAGAACTCCGTGGATCAGAACTGGAACCGCTCCGATCTGGCATTTTCGTACGGGATACCTCATCAGCCGAACTTCCGGGCAGTAAGGCTAGCTCTGGCACTTGTTTTGCGACTTTAGCCTGTAGTTGCCAGATGAGAGCCGAACTATCAGGAAGCGAAGCCTAACTTTGGCACCTCTTTGGCAATTTGGGTCCAAAGACTCCAGATGACAGCCGAACTACCTGGCAAAACGCCTAACTCTGGCGCTCGTTCCGCGATTTTGTCCAGAAAGAACACATAACTGCCGAAATGCCTGGAAGTGAAGCCTAATTCTGGAACTTCTTCGGCGAATTAGGGCCAAGATACCCCTCCTCTTGTTAAAGTAGGCGAGATTTGCCTCTACTGTGGCTTCCGGGCGGTTCAAAGAACAAAACTTCCAGATATTTGCCAAATTTTGGCCTAGAGCTCTGTACTACCTGGGATGTTAAGTTTACTACAACGACTGCTTGGGATGAGTCCCCAATGCCGATAACTTTGGATAGTTGCTTACGCGTACGTACAATGGCTGCTCCAATATGTATGGAAGACATCTGCAAAAACTAAATCATTTACTTGGAAAGAATAAGGACGCTAAGGAAAAGTGGACAACTAAAA